GTGTGTGTGTGTGTATATTCGCTTTTAGATTGTTAACTAAGTTATACTACTTATGGTCAAAAAAATAGACATTGATGCTGACACATACAATTAAAAGTACTTCAACTGCGTAGACAACTGTCATCGTAGTCAGTTATCTGCAGTTTTAGGGTTGTAGAAAATGACGCAGTGAAGTCACACCTGGCACACAACACAAACAACACACAATTACACATCTACAATCAACACACACCGGCCAACCCACATTTACACATAATCCACATGTGAACCAACGCACAACAACATACTCATCTCACATCAACAACTCTCACCCACACATACACAATCTCAGTCAACACACAAAGCAGAAGGACTGATATACACACCTGCAATGCCAGGCGCACACTCCTCGCGGGGTGTTCCGGAGAGGAGCGTTTCCAACAGCAGCTGCTTAAAGCTCAACACAATCTGTTTCTTCTCGCGATCTGACAGCTTGGATACACCGTCAGGTGCGTTCTGCACTGAGAAGCTATTTATACCATCCAATGGAAAGGCTTCTCGAGTCGAAAGCGAGTCAGATGCAGCTGCGTGCTCCGCGGTGGCTGCTCCCTGAGGTCGTACATTTTGGGCAGCCGACACGTGCGAGGAAAGAAAGGGATTGAGTAGGTTGTCTTACCCTACAAGGCATAAGAGCGCAACAATGTGCAGTGTTGCTGGACGCATGTCTCACATTCTACACCCAACTATATACACCCTCATTGCAATGACAGAATAAACGAACAAAACACCCACGAGATATATAAGTGAGAGCAATGACTCACACGGCACTGGAACCCTAAACCCTAAAACATCACACGGCACGATGGGCTGATGCCAAAGCATATCACATGGCACACACGCAGAGCCACCTCAGAACCATCTCAACCACTCACTAACAAACTAAAACCCCAAAACACTAAACTCCTAAGCGCACCGTCTACACTCACCAGCGGGTCATCTGTGTGTATGTTGTGGGTGTCCGTATCGCGTGGGTGTGTGTTGGTGTGGGTGTGGCCATAGACCAGGTCGTAGAATACGTGCATCAGCCGTTGGCACAGGTGCGCCGGGGTGTCTGTCTCCTGCACCAGCCGACTGCACCTGGGCTCCGTCAAATGGACCGCCACCAATTCACCAATCAGCACACGCAGAGGCTCAAGCACCGCATAGTCCACCACAAACACCGCATTCTCTTCCTGCCACGCAGCACGCGACAGTGGAAAGGAAACAGTATGAGCGAACATTCGAGGAACAGATGCCTTAGATCAAATGACAAGGGGTGCAATCTCTGCATGAAAACTGAGAACTAGAGTTTTAAATAGAACAAATACAAGTCTATAATTACACACATGACGGACTCCATAGCATCACATAGCGTCACAAAAAGAAACTCTATAGATATATTTTGTTGGTAACACAAACATACGTATACTGCCGTACACATACACTTAATAGTCAAATGCAAAGGAACCATAGCCAGGAAACACACGCGTAACTCTATAGATATATCTCTGAAGTATCACAACCATAAATAATAGCCAACACACGCATAAATCTATTGATATGTCTCTGAAGTAGCGCAACCATAAATAATAGCCAACACACACATAATACTATAGATACGTCTCTGAAGTAACACGACCATAAATAATAGCCAAAACACACATAACTCTATATATATGTCTCTGAAGTAACACGACCATAAATAATAGCCAAAACACACATAACTCTATAGATATGTCTCTGAAGTAAAACAACCATAAATAATAGCCAACACACATAACTCTATAGACGTGTCTCTGAAGTGACACAATCATAAATAATAGTCGCGCAACACCTGTCCACAAGAGGTCTGCAGTTGGCACATACTGTTGGGTGATCGAATGAACAGAAAAACACTCGGTGGCGTACGAAGCTACTGCCAATGGTGGCATTTCGATTTAGACTGTGCAAGCGAGTGCTACGCCCATGCTCTAAAGGAGTGCGAAAGTGTTCAGAGTTATGATGTATGTCTAGCTTAGGTGTGTGCGTATGTGCATATTCATGAGAATGGCCTTACATGCATGTTGTAGGTATGGACTGCATATAAATACACGTGTGCGACTTTGATATCTGAAGTTGATACGTATAACTGTGATTCTTCTGTTGTAAATATAATACACGTTAGACTAGATGTGTACTGTGTGTGTAGGAAAAAAGTAAACGACTCATATTGTGTCATAGCCGGTACGGAAAATTGCATTGAACACAGCCATACATACTTGATTGTATGTCCAAACATACATACACCTGAGTACTAAGTGTAACGCATATGCGAATATGCATACTAGGACTGATACTCGGATAACGAATGTGGTGTTTAAGTATATATCTACATCACAGAATAAGTTGATCTACGCAGATGAACCGATCTGCAACACTTTCACTTGTTCTGGCACCGTAGCAACAAGAACGCCCTGAACATTAAATGTAACCATACACGCAAATACAAATAGAGACATGGATTTGACGCACTTAGTCAAACAATAAGCAGACAACTAGGAATATATGAGCGCCAATATGACGCAGATTTGTGTATCAACACATTCATATATGTTTACATACAGATATCTCACATATATATCTGCATAAGGGTGTACAATTGTGCATGTTTCTATAAACATACAGATTTGCACGCACAGCCACCTCAATCGTTCAGCCTATTT